ATCATATAATGAGGGCAAATACACCTTCGATGTATTCTTATAGAAGTGTCAGAGATCTATGATAGAGTGCCACTTCAGTGTTAGAGAGACATTACAGTAGAATGGGGTGACAGAGAAGATGTTCTAAAACTAGGTCAAGGCACTATAATGATCTAAAATCAGCTTGGTTGAGGGACTACATTGCATTTAAAATTTTAACCGCATAGGCTAAAATTTCACTACAACGAGGCATTAAATAGTTCTGGTGATGATCTTTGAAAGAGGGCTATAGATGAAGATTGAGTCTCTCCAGAAGAATGTTACTTGGAGATTGGTAAAACTTCCTATAGTAAGGAAACTTATTGAGTGCAAATGGGTGTTAAGAAGAAGTGATCTCATGGAGCTGATGTGCAGTATAAGACTAGGTTGGTGGAAAAAGACTCTATGTAGTGGGAAGGGATTGATTATAATGAGGTGTTCTCCCCAGTGGTTAAGCATCATTTGAACTATATTCACTTTGCACTTGTAGCACATTATGGTTTAATTTTGGAGCAACTCAATCAAGTCGTTGCACAAGTAATTAGCATTATGAGCAAGTTCATACATGATCTAGGAAAGAGTGATCATTGGTAAGCTGCGAAGATTATCCTAAGGCATTTGAAGGGTACAATGATATAGGCTTGGGGTTTGAGAGGCATGCATCTGCTGTTGATTTGTGTGTAGGCTACACTAACTCAGATTACATTGATGATATTGATAGGCCTAGGTGTACGACTAGTTACTTATTTATATTAGTAGGAGGTCTAGTAAGTTGGAGATCAGTTCTTCAGTTTATTATTGCTTTGTCTATTATGGAGGTTAAGTACATGACAGTCACGGAGGTGATGAAGGAAGTAATATGGATGCATGGTTTACTGGATAATTTAAAAGTTGATCAAAAGTCTCTGACGGTATTTTTTGACAGTTACAGTGCGATATTTTTTGCTACAAATATAGTTCATCATGCTCGTACCAAGAACATTGATGTAACATACAATTTTGTTCGGGACTTGATTGTTGAAGGCTATATCTAGTTGAAGAAGATATGGATAATCCAACATACATGCTCACAAAGGTACTGTCAGTTTAGAAGTTCATCTACTATAGAAGTTTGATGAACATTCTGGCTCATGACTGATTGTCTACTTGTTTTAAAGAACTACGCTTGCCTTAATCCCTTGGGAGGGGATACATAGGTAACTATCTGGGTGCAGCCATTTTGATATTGGAGTTTGGTTTTTCATCTTTCATTTTCTGAAGTGGAAGATGAGATGAAGATTGTTGATTTGAGAATCTTTTCAAATAGTGGAGAGCATTGATTTGGAAATAAATTAGTGACTAATTAGTGCTTTGATTAGGAGATTATATTATTACATTAAATGAAAAAATTGAATTATGCACTAATTAGGGGATCTAATTATTACGTAAATTGGGAGATTTAATTAGCATGATTGAGAGACCTAATTGACATGATTAAATTTTGTCATATTATATCATTAATTGGAGTTTTTTTGTAGCTTTGTTTCAAATCTATAAATAGTGATGTAAGGGTTGTTGTAAGGAAGGAGAGTGAGAGCCAAATTGTAATCATATTATTCTTAAATATAGTGAAATCATCATCCTCTCCTAGTGGACGTAGGCATCTTTGTCGAATCGTGAAAATTGATGTGTTATTTGTGTTGATTGTGCTTTGATTCTGATTTTCTTTCCGATGTATTTTCACAACAATATGATTAGCATGAATGATGAAATCATCACTAGCCAAAAATATATGAAACTAACTAAATTAAATGAGTTCATGACCATTAATCCTTTTCTAAATTTCTCTTTAATCTAGTTTATCTTTTGAGGCGCAAATTATGAGTCATTCATGTATTGACACCGGATAAGAAGGGGATTCGACAACTTCTCGTCGACGATCCGGTGACCAAAGCCTAGCACAACTCCAAGAACGCCTTCTTGGAAAGAAACCACCACCTGAATACTCTTCAGGATACATAAATAGAAGCCAAACTAAACTCAAATCTTATTCATCTTCTCATTACAAGACAACAACTCTTATTGATAGAATATGTATGCTACTTAAAAGGCAATAGGCTTAAATAAAATATAAAAGTCAAGCTATCTAATTATATATGTGGCTAATACATGGATTGAAGTTTATAACAAAAGAACTTAGCAATAGCTCCATCGTCATTCTACCAGGGTAGGAGGACCTTCATGCTCTTAGTGAGATGACAGGTTGGCAAATTTGGTTGGCTGAATAGAGATGGATAGGTTCACCCGGCATCAAATCTTATTCATCTCCTCATTTCAAGATAACAACCCTTATTTATAGAATATGTAGGCTACTTAAAAGACAATATGCATGCCTAAAGAAAATATAAAAGCCAAACTGTTTAATTATGTGGCAAATGAATGGATTTAGGTTTATAACAAAAGAACCTAACAATAGCTCTGACATCATGTATGAGCGGTATTGTCAAATCTAAAATTTTTTTCTAGTAAAAAAATTATTTTTTATCTTTGTTTGCATACATTGATGTGTTTCTTATTTGACTATTTATATTTTTTTGAATTATAAAATATAAACATAATGATCGATAGAAATGAGATCATATACGATGAATATCTATACTACTATATAAAAGTGGCTTGGGACTTCACCCATAGTAAATCCGGATCGTTCATCTATAAATTTTAAATTAATCTACAACGTTCATATATAACTCTTCAAATTCTATCATTTATCATTTTCCATAAAACATTTAAAACTTCACCCATAGTAAATCCGGATCGTTCATCTATAAATTTTAAATTAATCTACAACGTTCATATATAACTCTTCAAATTCTATCATTTATCATTTTCCATAAAACATTTAAAACTTCACCCATAGTAAATCCGGATCGTTCATCTATAAATTTTAAATTAATCTACAACGTTCATATATAACTCTTCAAATTCTATCATTTTCCATAAAACATTTATTTATATTAATTAAGCAGTTTGAAATTATTAATGCTTTAATTATAAAAATGCAGTACCAAACCATCTCATACGCCCACTTTACTTCCTATTTTTAAAACCGCTTTTCAAATAATTAATTAAGCTGTTTACAACATTATTAAAATTGCTTTAATTCGAAAACTGCTATCAATCCAAAAACCGCTTTCAACTAATCAATTAATTTCCAAAATTATTATAAATTCAACATTTCATTTCATATTGGCTACAATTATTAATGTATTCTCTAAATTGCATTTAATTAAGAGAATTGCAATGGTTATTACAGAATTCACAAAAAAGACTTTTTAGATAACCCGTTGCATTAAATAGTATTAATGATTAATAAATTTAAGCTAATTATTATAGTAAA